GTGTGTGTGTGTGTGTGTGTGTGTGTGTGTGTGTGTGTGTGTGTGTGAGTGTGTGAGGGTGCCGATCCCTTGGAGCTGGAGGTACAGTTATGAGCTGCCATGTGGATGCTGGGACTTGGACCTGTGTCCTCTGGAAAAGTAGCCAGTACTCTTAACCACTGAGCTACCTCTCCAACCCTGAGGTGTTTCATGGGCAGCTTCAGAGGATGGAGTCTGGTTGCCTGAGGACATCACTGACCCGCAGCCGCACTTGTGCTCTGTCAGGTACACCGAGAACCAGTCCCTGAGGAGTTGGGGGCATCCGAGTTGACCTCACTCTGCTATGGGGCCAGCCCTCTGCTCTACTGTGGCTCCAGCTCTGGCCAGGTCTGCGTCTGGGACACTGGCACTGGCCACTGCTTCCTGGCCTGGGAGGCTGATGACGGCGAGATTGGTGAATGCCCAACAACCTCTGTAGCCCTACAATGGTGCTGGCTGTTGCAGTGTGGGTAGTGGGCATCCTATACCCACCCTGTTTTCTAGGAGTGCTGCTGTGTTCTGGCTCGAGACTGCTCAGTGGCAGTAACACACGAAGGCTGCGTCTTTGGGCCGTGGGGGTTGTGCCAGAGCTGAGGCGCAAAGGCTCAAGTGCCAGGTGAGCTGCCATGGGCCTCCATTCTGCACCTTCCCTTGAGTTTTGGCTACAGGGTCTCAAATCCCTGATGGACCCTGCAAGCCAGCACTTCTTCTGTAGCACAGCTCTCAAGTGAAGGCTGCCTTACCTGTCTGTCATTAGCTGGGCCCCTCCTTGAGGATACACTCAGGCATAACGTGGGCCTTGCAGGCTGCAGACCAAGGAGAGAGAGGCTTGAAGCCCTTGGCTCTGTAGGGTCTTGATTATTTCACCCAAGAGAGTGCAGCACCAGACTGACGGCTGCTGCTTCACCCATCACCTGGTGGGTCCCGAGCCTCAACACTCCTTTCCCCTATTCAGGTCCAATTCTGTTTTCATGGAGCGTGAGCTGACCCTGGATGGGGCTGTGGTGAGTGCCAGCTTTGACAGTGGCATGGACATGGGTGTAGTGGGCACCACAGCTGGCACGCTCTGGTATATCAACTGGACAGAGGGCACTAGCACCCGCCTCATCAGTGGCCACAGGAGCAAGGTGAGCCCGCTGGACTGCTAAGGATTTCCATCCTGGGCAGGGCAGGGCAGGCTAGGGCGGCAAACCCACCTACTCCCTATGATCATCTGTCTTCAGCTTATGAGTAACACTGAGGCAGACTCAAGTGAGGGCATCTCCTGGGTCCAGGCATCATATATACCAGCCAGGGCCTGGCTGTGCAGTCTTTCCAGAACCTGGCTAGTGTTTCTGTATTTTACTTTTCTTTCTTGTAACTCGTTAATGAACCCACATCACCTGATTAGCACTTCCCATAGGCTGGCTCTGCTGACATCATCAGGGTCCTGCTGTGGAGTCTAGGTGGCAGGAGGCTCCGGCAGGTTCTGGTTGGATCTGCTCATATGTGGTTAGAACTGGTCTGGGTTTTCCAGGTGTGGGCAGGTCTAGCCAGGCCTGTCAGTTGATGGGACTATCTGGATCTATTCATGCTGGACTGTCGTGTGATAGATCATGGTCTGTGTCGGGCTGCAGATTTCTGGCTTCATCCAGGCTTTCTGTCAGTTCTGTCCTTTCTATGGCCAGTCTCCCATTGTTCAGGTAGCTAACATGCTCTCCTGCCCACAAAAAGTTTGGGTCTTGAGCCCTTATCTGTGCTGCCAGTCCCGAGTGCCTTCCAGAACTGAGGGTGGACAGGAGTTCCAGGCCCATAGACTGCGTGACATGAACCTCATGAGCCCACTGTTGGTCAGATGACTAGAACTGGAACTGGAACCCTAACCTTGAATTTTCTCCAAGAGATGTCACATATCCACTTACACTGAATTTCATTGGCTCATGGCATCTGTGCCACCTTTCTCCAAAAATCTTGATTCTCAGTGTGGTGCCCATGAGGTACACATCGGTTTTCCCCATCAAGACATTCCACAGCCTGAATAAAAAGCCACAAAGCTGTTGTGAGCACTGGAGACAGCCGCGTATCTGCTTGTGCTTTTGCTCTCAGTGTGTAGCCTGCTAAAGACAGGTGACCACATTATAAGTTCTCCGTTCTGTCAGTGTTTCCCATGGGTTTCCAAATCTCACCTGCTTAAGGGTTCATCCACACTCTAGGGAGCAGCGTGTGCCTCACATGGAGGTGGTTGGGCAAAGTGGGCTTGGGCAGGAGACAGTTGTTCCTGTGTGGGCAGCCTGGCCTGGAGATCAGGGTAGGAAAGTCCCAGATGGGCATGCCCTCAGCCATACTGGGGTCCCGCAGGTAAACGAGGTGGTCTTCAGCCCCAGTGAGTCTCACTGTGCCACCTGTGGCGAGGATGGGAGCGTGAGGGTGTGGTCTTTGGCCAGCATGGAGCTGGTGATCCAGTTTCAGGTGCTGAACCAGGTAGGTGAGGAGTCCAGGGGGAAATGGTATGTGTTCAAAGCAGGGCCCGGGTCATGTGCCCTGCTCCCACGTGCTGAAGCTGTTGCCTCTGTTGCCTCCCTGGGGAAATGCTGGTTTTCCCCCCTCCATGGGACACTAGAGCTGCCTCTGCCTTGCCTGGACCCCCCCATCCTGTGGACGCCCAGAGCAGCAGCAGGTGGTGGCAGGCTACAGCGATGGCACACTTCGAGTCTTCAGCATCTCTCGGACTGCCATGGAACTCAAGATGCACCCCCACCGGACTGCTCTGACAGCCATTGCCTTCTCCACTGATGGTGAGGGGAGGCAGCTGCAGAGTGTGCCAACCTCATCTAGCCCACACCACACTTCCAGGCCACGGGCTGGGGTCACAGAATGGCAACATAGTCTCCCTGTGGCACAGGTCAGACTATCCTATCTGGAGACAAGGATGGGCTTGTGGCTATCAGCCGCCCCTGCACAGGAATGACCTTCCGCATGCTCAGTGACCATCGGGGCGCTCCAATCTCTGCTATCCAGAGCACAAACAAAGAGGTAAGGCAACCTCAGGTGATGGTGGGGAGGGAGCTAGGGTGCTGTGGGCAGTCAGCAGGTTCTTACATCTCTCATTTTTTCCAGTATGGAGACTTAGGGGTAGAGGGTGCAGAACTGTGGCTGGCTGCAAGTGGGGACCAACGGGTCAGCATCTGGGCCTCTGACTGGCTCCAGGACCGCTGTGAGCTCCTGGAATGGTTGAGCTTTCCTGCACCTGCAATCTCAGAGGTAAGAGTTCCATGGGTAGATGGGTGGGGACTGGAGCCTGCACAACTCATCATAACACACTACTTTTCACAGGCTCCAGGCCTCCCGCCCCCGTCTCTTGCTGCCTTCTGCCCTTGGGATAAGGCGATACTGGTGTGTGTGGGCCTTGGTGCACATGAAGAGGTAGTCTTCTACAGCCTCCGCCAAAAGCAGGTAGGTGGTTATCCAGGGCTGTGTGTCATAGGGTCGTGAGGCTGTGTCCCTAGCAGGACTGTCCATTGTCACGCTGTTTTCCTGCAGGTGGTGCAGAAGACACCGCTGCCCTTCTTTGCCATGTCCTTGAGCCTGTCCCCAGGGTCCCAGCTCATGGTGGTTGGTTTTGCTGGTGAGTGCTGGTAAACACACTTGTGCTGTTTTGGGAAATAGCAAACTGGTTCACCTCTGTGCCTTGGACTTCCCCTCTATGAGGAGGTTGGAGACAGCCCCAGAGAGAGGTGTAAGCTCAAAGGCAAGGTGTAAGTTACCAACTGCAGCACCTGTGCTGGGGCGTATATAGAGGGCAGCCTTGAAGGCTCTCAGTCAGAGCAGGTTTGGGAACATAGAGACCATGGCCCTGTTCCCCTCAGCAGGGTTCCCTGCTATCAGTACTTAGTCAGGCATGGGACACAGAGGATGGGAATCCCCCTGGGTGCTGCCTGGTCCTCCCACCGTCATCTGCCCACAGAATGCATGCTGAGGCTCCTGGACTGTGCATCAGGGACTACCCAGGACTTTGAAGGCCATGATGACGCAGTCCACCTGTGTAGGTTCACCCCGTCTGGAAAACTGCTCTTCACAGCTGCTCACAATGAGATCCTGGTGTGGGAAGTCACTGGCTCCTGAGCAATTGCTAGGAACATAGGCAGAAAAGCCAGGCTCTGGGTTGTTGTATGCTGAGCCAGGATGACTGGGACAATCTTCAGAACTACATTGAGTTTGGGTAAATCTGAAAACATTTAAGGAGGCTGAGGGTGTGGCAGTGTTTTATAATCTGTGAAGATATGGATTTGATCCCCAGAACCACTCCTCCCAAACACAGAAGACTTAGCATACTGTGGAGGTTGCATGAATGTTATTTTATTGTTTTCATTTTGTACAGTTTAAACAAATAAAAATGGCATTTATTATACTCATACATTGTTTTACTGCTCCAAAAATTGCGTCTCTGCATCACTTCTGTCCTGTGCTCAGCCTCTGCCGCTACCGGCAATCCTGTCCTGTCCATTGTCCAGCCTTGCCCTCCACTGGCCTGTCCACCTGAGAAGCTTGTTGGGTCTAAGAGAACTGTCTGCACCACAAGCAGTGTCAGGAGCGTCCCGTGTGGTGGCGCCGTCCCTATCCCACCAGCTGGTGCTGCGTGGGCGGGACCGGAAGTTTGTATGAGGGCGGGACTGGAGACAGGAAGTGCGGGATCCTGCGCGGGTTGAAGGAGAGGGCTAGGGTTGGGGTTGGTATTGGGTCTATTGGGCACGTTCCGGGCCGGGAGGGAGAGTTTGGGGCGCTGCTGCGGGCGGCGGCCATGCGGCGCGACGTACGCATCCTGCTGCTGGGCGAAGGTAGGCGGTAGGGCCGTGGGCAGACAGATGGGGTCGCCGTGACCTCCGCCGTGCTCCTGACTATACTGTTCCCCCCATCCCCACCCGCGCAGCCCAGGTGGGGAAGACTTCTCTGATCCTGTCGCTGGTCGGCGAGGAGTTTCCCGAGGAGGTGCGCCTGCCGGACCGGACACCCGGGGCGGGTGCTAGGCTCTGGACACCCGGGCTGCCCATTCAGTGCTGACCCACCTGTTGCAGGTCCCTGCCCGCGCGGAGGAGATAACCATTCCCGCCGATGTCACCCCGGAGAAGGTGCCCACTCTTATCGTGGATTACTCAGGTATCTCCAAAGGCTGTCCCCAGCCGGTGTGTATTGGGCCTGCAGTCGTTCTGCGTCGAGCCCAACAGCCATTCTACAGCGCTTCTTTTTCTCCCCAGAAGCGGAGCAGACAGAGGAGGAACTTCAGGAGGAGATCCACAAGGTGCAGTGCATCTTGAGGGCCCGTGGGTACAGAGCCCGATTCACTGGTCCCAGCTTGCTGCCACCTAGTCTTTAATCGGCTTCCTGTTCTTCGGAGCTGGATTAGGTGACTGGCAGGGCTTGACCCTGATAATTCAGCTGTGACCTTCAGAGCTGAGTGTTGTTGGATTTCTCAAATCCAACAGGACTTGGGGGAATCAGGACTGGTCCACAGCCTCCATTAGTGCTCAGAGAAAAAAAAGGAAAAACGGAAAACCCACTCTCCTCCTGTTCCCCCAGTACATGGCACCCTAGGCTGTGGTGGATGCCATCTTAATTAGGAGTTACCTGTTGTCAGAGTTCCTAAGTTCCTGAACGCAGGCCTTCGGCCTTCTCTGTGTCCTACAGGTGCAGCTCACTGCTCAGGGTGCACTGTCTCTGTGCTGTTGTCTGCAGCGTCCTTGCTGCTTGTACTAAGATAGAAAGTGAGATTTGGGTCTGGACTGTTCCCTGCCTGTGGCCGGTCAGTCATAAGCACTTGGGACAAGGATGTGCTGACTAGAGCCATGGTGCTGGGGTCTGGTATCTCTTAGGGAGAGCTGACAGGTAGAGGCCTGCTTAGCAAAGGTGGTCTTCCCGGGCCTCAGAATCTGAAGCCCATCCTGCTGTGAGCAAGCACCTGGGACATGCTGGAGTGGACCAGGCTGTCCATAATGAGCAGGCAGACTCTGCTCACCCTGTGTCCTGCTTTCCCTTAGGCAAACGTAGTGTGTGTGGTGTACGATGTGTCTGAAGAGGCCACCATTGAGAAGGTGAGGAAGAGGGCACGCTCCTTGTCCATTCTCAGCCCCATTGCTAGTGCCTGGCGTAGTTGGCGGTTGATCTGTGAAGTATACAGTGGCTCTTGAACCTCGAGCCTTGTTTCCAGCCTTACTTTTTGTTAAGTTTTTCTGGGAGCCCCATATGTCTAAGCTAGGGAGCACTCTCATACCCTAGTCTGCTTGGGGAGGTTGCAGCTGTTGGGGTCAGACAAGTCCCTGTCCGTCATCTGCAGTCTTGCACTGACTTCATCCTGCTCTCCTAAAGCTTGTTTAGCCCCTGAACAAGCTGGTGAGCTGGGCTGGTGAGCGTGTGCACATGATTGCCTCATACTTGGCTTTTGTCTTTCAGATCCGAACCAAGTGGATCCCCCTCGTGAATGGCAGGACTGCGACAGGGCCCAGGTGACCAGCAGGGCCTCAGCTAGCGGGACTAGACCCCACCTGCTCCCCATCCCTGGTGATCATGGCCTCTCTCCCAGGTTGCCCATCATCCTGGTAGGCAATAAGTCAGACCTGCGACCGGGGAGTACCATGGAGTCTGTGCTACCCATCATGAGCCAGTTTCCTGAGATAGAGACCTACGTCGAGGTTAGCAGAGGTTATAGAGGAGGGCTGTGTTAAAACCCTGTAGTAGCTCCTTAAGTCTGCCTTGGATCTGTCCCTGAGCCTGTCCCCACCCTTGTCCAGTGTTCAGCAAAGCACTTGAGGAATATCTCAGAACTGTTCTACTATGCGCAGAAGGCTGTTCTGCACCCCACAGCCCCCCTTTATGACCCTGAGGCTAAACAGGTGAGCAGTGGGCGCGGGACACACACCTACTTCCCCAAGACTCATCTCCAGGTCCATGTGGGGTGTTGGATAAGGAGAGCAAATGGCTGGGAGTGCTGACAGGGTGAACAGGGAAAGGGCCACTTGGTTGTCGTGTCCCTGCAGCTAAGACCTGCATGCGCCCAGGCTCTCACACGCATCTTCAGGCTATCCGATCAGGACCTCGACCACGCGCTCAGCGATGAGGAGCTCAATGCCTTCCAGGTGTGGCCCTGCCCTGACACCCCAGTTGCCTTTGTAAGAGGGTCATCAGGACAGCTGACTGATGTGACACACTTCCTTCCCGGAGGCAGAAGTCCTGCTTTGGCCACCCCCTGGCCCCACAGGCCCTGGATGATGTGAAGAGGGTCGTATGCAAGAATGTGGCAGGTGGTGTACAGGACGACCGGCTGACCCTGGAAGGTGAGACAGACATCATCCTAGGCCCTGGCGTGTGGGGAGTGGCCGGGCTGAGTGCTAGCCCTCCGTCTTTTCACAGGCTTCCTCTTCCTGAACACACTTTTCATCCAGCGTGGCCGGCATGAGACCACGTGGACCATCCTGCGGCGCTTCGGTTACAGTGACTCATTGGAGCTGACGCCTGACTACCTCTGCCCACCGTGAGTTGCAGGCTGGCGGGCAGCAGTGCTTATGCTCTTGGGGTGGGTCCTGCTCAGTGGGCCTCTGTGGGATTGGGGCCCTCAGCACTGGCTTTCTTGACCCGTGACCTGAGCACTCCAGCTTGGCCTTTCAGCACACACTCACAGTCACTCCCCTTGCTGAGCCCCAGCCGTCTGAGCAGAGGGTTTTATTGGGAATGCCCAGGCAGGTCCTGCGCTGTGGCCTGGCTAGACTCCTGGCATCCCCACAGGCTCCATGTACCCCCTGGCTGCAGCACAGAGCTCAACCACCGTGGCTACCAGTTTGTGCAGCGGATCTTTGAAAAGCACGACCAGGTGAACACCATTACCTCACCTGCCCTTTGACCCCTCCCCACCCCCAGGCACATGTTGCCATAGCCCCTCTGCCTATAGGACCACGATGGTGTCCTCTCGCCCACGGAATTACAGAATCTCTTCAGCGTGTTCTCAGTGGCTCCCTGGGGCCCTGAACTCTCCCACACAGTCCCCACTCAGGCTGGCTGGCTGCCCTTGCATGGATATCTCTGCCAGTGGACGTAAGTACCGTACGTGTGCAGCTCCCTGTCTGCTCCTACCCACCCCGTCTTACTCTCCTTAGCACCGTGCCTCCCTTTACTCCCAGCCTGGTGACCTACCTAGATGTCCAGCGCTGCCTTGCACACCTGGGCTACCTGGGCTACCCTACCCTCTGTGAGCAGGACTCCCAGGCACAGGCTATCACAGGTGGGTGACCACTTTTTTGGTCCTGAGGCCTAGCCCCTCCTCTTCCATGGCCAACCCCCTCATGTGAGCTCATCTTTGCAGTTACCCGAGAGAAGAGACTAGACCAGGAGAAAGGGCAGACACAGCGCAACGTTCTTCTGTGTAAGGTCTTGGGAGCCCCAGGAGTGGGCAAATCAGCCTTCTTGCAAGCCTTCCTTGGCCACAGCCTCAGGGTGAGAATTGTGGAAGCCCCAACCCCTCCCCGGGAACTCTAGTGGGCAGGAGAAGTACCACAAGAGAACTCTGGGGCCAGCAAGTCAAGCATCTTTTCTGCTGCCCACGCAGGAAGCCAGAGCCCTCCCTGAGAAACCCCCTATGTACGCCATCAATACAGTGCGGGTCAGCGGACAGGAGAAGTACCTGATTGTGAGTGGGGGACATGCTCCTTGTCCTGAAGGGTAGGCCTGTGACACCCCATGTGGCCCATCCTTCCTCCTAATGGGGCTGCCCCAGGGTGGCCCTTGGGCAACCCAGCCTTGGAGAGGACACTTAAGGCCGCTCTTTGTCCCAGCTATGTGAAGTGAATGACAGCCTGCTGGACAGCTCTCTAGACAGCACCTGTGATGTCGCATGCTTAATGTTTGACAGCAGTGATCCCAAGACCTTTGCGCACTGTGCTACCATATACAAGGCAAGTCCTGCCCTGGGGTCCTGTAGTGGGTTCCCAGCTGTAGCCCAGCTAGATAGGACAACAAACTCAGCTCTCATTTTTTTTTTTTTTTTTTTTTTTTTTCCATTACAGCACCATTACATGGATGGGCAGACCCCCTGCCTTTTTATCTCCTCCAAAGCCGATCTCCCTGAAGGTGTTGCCGCAACAGGCTTGTCACCAGCTGAGTTCTGCCGTAGGCACCGGCTGCCTGCCCCAGCCTCATTCTCCTGCTTGGGACCAGCCCAGCCCAGCACAGATGTCTTCACTCAACTTGCTACCATGGCCACTTTCCCGTGAGTATACCTACCACAGCCTTAGTGTGGGGTAGCTATCCCAGTCTCATCTAGGTACAAAGGTGTCAGAGCTTTAGGGTGGGTCCTATGGCCCAGAGAGCTATGCTGGGTGTCCTCCTCTGGCTTAGCCTCCGGCTGCTTGGGTCCCGGGT